GGCCCCCTCCCTGGCCGAGGTCCTGCCACCCCTCCCGCGGTCCTAGAGAACGCCATTTTGCAGGTCTTTGTCCGGCCCCGGCTCTCGGTCCCATTCATTTGTTCATTCTCTCATTCTTTGTCACCCCTTGCCACATTCTCCAAGGCCACGTTTCCCAGGGCTCATTCCGAGACCAGGCAGCTCGGGGCCCTGGCCTGCGCGGCTGTCTGGCGGGGGCGCAGACACAGACGGTTGCGGGGGGCGAGAAGCGCAGCGTTTCTGCAGCTCTCGGCTTCTCGGCGCGCCTGGTAGGCCCTGGCGCTCTCCAAACCCCCACCTGCCTCGGAGAAGACCGGGGCCTGGAGCGCCGTGGCGCCCCTGCTTCTACTGCCTGTTACTGGGGGAACCGGTACTGATGGGAAGGATGCAAAAGGCAAGGCATCCTTCGATCCCAGGATCGAAGGCAAACCGAGGCAGAGGGCAGTGCAGGTGGAGATGCATCCAGGTGGGGAAGTTTGAGAATTGTGGCTGGAGCTCAGGTTGCTGCAGGGAGGGGGAAACACGCTGAGCTGAGGCTGGAAACGTGGGTAGGGGTTAGGTTGTGAACTGACCAGATTGGAGACCTAGGAGGCCCTTAACGCTCACCTCTGCACGCACTGTTCATGCTTACACGTCTGCCGTCTCGCCGAGTCTGTGAGGCATGTTTAGACATGGAGACGGAGGTGCAGGGACGATAAAAAGTGGCTCCTTTCTCACCTCTCATCCCGGCTCCCAGGGTCCTAGCCTAGACTCTCGGGAATGAAGTCTCTGACTCCTGTTCAGGCAGCAGGACTTCATCCCTCTCCTAAGCCAGCAGGGAAGCAAAGACAGCCTTCCTCACTAGAGCAATGAAGCCGTGTGGGAAATAGGCCTGATGCTATTTGGACCTTGGGAACTTGGGCAGCAGAGAAATCCAGTTAATAAATAGTTGTTGATGGACAGTCTCACACATGCCTACTGTGGGGAAGGCAGAGGCTCTAGGCCTGGGTCTGAACTGTGTCTCAGAGGTTGATTCTTTCCGTTTGTTTTGGGGCGCTAGTCACAGTTCTAGGTGTAGTGGATACAGAATAAGAAAGGCTCCCGGCTCTTCGCTAGCCTAGATTCTTGTGCTGGAGACAGAGTTAACCACTAAGCCATAAAATGTGTAAGTGATGTCAGGGGACGGAGAGCAGAAGTTTGGGGGGCAGACCACCTAGCTTTGAATACTGGCTATGACTATCACTGCTTCATTTCTGTGTGCCTCAGTGTCCTTGTCTGTTTAACTTAGCCTGTTCAGGCTACGTTAGCGAAAACACAGACTGGGGGGCTTAACCAACAGAAACTTATTTCTCACAATCCTGGAGGCTGGCAAGTCCACGATCAAGGTGCTGGCCAGTTCCTGGTGAGGACTCTTTTCCTGGCTTGCAGGCATGCACACATTCAGTCTGTAACGAACTTCTCCAGCGGTTCTCAACCTGTGGGTCGCGACCATGGGAAAACACATATAGCGTATCAGATATTTACATTACAATTCATAACAGTAGCTAAATGACAGTTATGAAGTTGCAACGAAAATAATTTTATGGTTGGGGGTCACCACAACATGAGGAACTGTGTTAAAGGGTCGCGGCATTAGGAAGGTTGAGAACCACAGTTGTGAGACTTAGCTTGAGTAGTACACGTAAAATTCTCAGAACGGTACCTGGGTGGTGCTAAGCTTGCAGGAAGGAACGCTATCCGTGGGAGCACCGTAATGGAAATTAAAGAAGGGGGAGGAGCGTGATCAGCAGGGGCTCCCACAGCCTTCAGAAAGGTGGTCTGGAAAGCCTTCTTTGAGAAAGTGACAGGGACCTGAGACCCAGATAAAACCAAAGAGATAGCTACACAAAGATCCTTGGGGGAGAGTGGTTCTGGCGAGGGTACTGTGTGCAAAGGCCCTGAAGGAAGAAGGAATTTAGCTCTTTGAGGTAAAGAAAGGGAGCCCGTGTGGGTGGAGCTTAGTGGGACAGGGAAGAGGAATGGAAGTTGAGGGAGACAGGAGTTAGATGGTTCAAGCCTTGCTGGCCATGAAAGGGATATTGGTCTTTGTCCTAGGAACAGTGGAAGGTCTCATGGTTTGGCTAATACGTCTTCAGGCAATGAAGACCGCTGGCGAAAGAGCCCGGCCCAGAGACCTGAAGACTCGGGTTTGAGTCAGGGCTCTTTGACAGCTGTGTGTTCTTGTGCAAGTTTTTCCCTCTGGGGCGTAATCTGCACCTCTGAAAGCAAGGTGAAGTAAAAAGGCCTTTCTCCTAAAAGCTTGTGAAGACTTAAGGCTGTGTCTTTGGTTCCTAAATGGTGAGTGTTGACTGGAATGACCTAGACAGTGTGTTCATAGGAAAGTTTCTGTCCTGCCCACACTCCCTGGATGGTTATTCTCGTACCGGGGGTTCACAGACCTGACTTGGAGGAACCCCACCATAGGGAGTGGTAGGTGAGAGTCCTCACTGAACGGTGAAGCGAGGAGATAATTTGATAGGGGCCTCGCCGACCTGGCCCTCTGCTCTTCATGGAGCTGGGTGCCTGATGGGACCAACCTGGTGCCCCCACTTGTCCCCTGGGAAGTGCCTTAGGAGCGGTATACCCATCTAGCTACCTGGTTTCTGGCTCACAGATAGGAAGACTGAGGCCCAGAGCTCAGAATCCATGGGTCCAGCCTCTGAGAGGGAAGCAGACCTAAAGGGTCCGGCTCTGGTCTCAGGGCGGTTCTACAGGGATAAGAGAAGACAAAGGTGCAACCTGAGCTCAGAGTCGGTCCCTGTGGGGCCGGCCCAGGGGGCAGACAAGACTGTGAGCGCCCAGGTCACTGAGTAAGGACCCAACCACTCAAGGCGAGTGAAACAGCTGGATTCAACTCCCAGCTGCGAATTACTAGGTGTGGCCATGGGCTAGTTATTAAGCACAATGCCATTTTGTTCCTCTGGGCCTCAGTTCTCTTATCTGTGAAAAGGGAATAATAATAGTACTTTTCTCATGGTGTGGGCAGGAAATTGAAGTGAGTTAATACATGTAAAGAGCTTAGGATACTGCCTGTTATTTAGCAAGTGCTTTATAAATGTGAGCTATCGGTTTTTTTTATTAAAGAGAAACTTTATCAGTCAGGCTGTCCAGAGATGGTCTGAAAGGAGGTAGTGAGTGCCTCATCCAGGGATAGGAAGAGATCCCCTGGAAACCCGAGATCTCCTGGAAAGTTGATCCTCAAGCCCTTTAACTCACTTTCCAGCCCCAGAATTTAGTGGGAAAAGTGAAGAAACAACAACAAGGTGATGGTGGAACAGCGTTGAGGGGGATTGGCACCAGAAACCAAAGCGGAGATGCAGGAAGAGCTTCCTGGGCGAAGTGGGGCTCAAAGGCAGGATTGATGGGATTTGTAACGGCCAAGAAGGACCTGGGAACTTGCGTGGTGTGATGGAAGCCATGGAAAGTTCTTGAGTGTCACACAGTGCTTCAGGGAGAAGACGCTGGCTGCCTGTGTCACCAGACTGTGTGTGTAGGGGTGGGGACTGAGGCAGGTCCACCAGGCAGAAGGGTGCTGACTCTAAAGATGCAGCCCGTGCCACTCACTCCGGGGCCCAGTGTCCTCCCCGGGCCGTAATGTAGACGCCACCAAGCTGAGGTGTACAAACAGGGAAACAGGCTTAGAAGGAACAGGAGAAAGAACTCAGGCCCCCTACCTCCCACCCTCACTTCTGGGCTCACCAGGCTCCCTTTCCTCTAGCAGATCCTCACCCCCACCCAGGCTGCCCCCAGCAGCTGCTGCTGCGCACTCCTTAAGTGGATCTGCTGTAATCCTCTCCCCTCATCCCCCAGGGAGGATGAGCTGGTGTCAGGGCTAATGCAGCTGTTAATCCTATTTCCTTCCAGCCATGATCCACAGGAACAGCTGTGTGGACGGTGTCTGGCTCTGAACCAAGAATGAAGGGGCCTCGGCTAGAGTGGGTGTCCCAGGAAGCCAGATCAGATACATTGATTATGTCTCAGAGGCTTCTAACTGCTAGCAATGGTTCAAGCTGCCTGGAGAGTGACTGAGCTTCCTATGACCAGAGCTAGGGGAGCAGGAGCCCACAGTGATTCCAGAGCAGGGGTGGGCCGGGATTCCTGTCTGGGGTGGAGTCCCTTATAGCCGTGCAAGGCCAGAATTCTGTGCGACCGTTGCTGCCTCGGAAAGCTAACCCACCAGAGTGGAACAACAAAATGCATGTGCTGGGGGCTACCACTTCCAGACAGACGGTGCCAATCACCACCGTGAGCCCACTGGTTTTGCCCTCTCTTGGGCCTACCTCTGCCTTCCCTGGGCACTGGGAGACCTTCAGGCCAGACCCCCAAGGCTGCAGTCTCGATGTCTGCAGCCTTGCATAGGACCCTGCATCCTAGCACAGGCCTTGAGGGCTGAGCTGAAGGAGGAGGATGGTGAGAGGATGGAACAGGGTGTCTGGGAATGCCAGGGTGGGGAATGAAGGGCGGGCAGACGTTTTGATGAACCCAGCCTCCTCCCTTCGTCTTTCTGAAGTCACCCAGTCCAACTCCTGCCATCAGTGAGCAGACCAGAGAGGACACTTGGGCACACTTTCAGAGCCGGAATGTTTGAAGGCAGGATGTGGTCCTCCCAGGTGGGAAGTGCAGATAAGTTGGGGTTATCATTGAGGCCCCATGAGGGCTTTGGTGATGGGAGAGGCCTTGGAGAATGGTGAGGGATGTGGCATGTGTCTAACTTTGCTTCTCTCACAGAGCTTTGCCCATCGAGGCCATGGAGGTGGAGACTGTGGAGGCCCGGTCCCCCGGCCCCGGCTACAAGCGTTCGGGCCGCCGCTACAAGTGCCTGTCCTGTACTAAGACGTTTCCAAACGCGCCCAGGGCAGCACGCCACGCTGCCACACATGGGCCTGCAGACTGCGCGGAGGAGGTGGCGGAGGCGAAGCTGAAGCCAGAGACGGAATCCAAAACAGAGGATGCCGGCGGGGACAAAGGGTCAGGTGCAGCGGCCAAGCCTCGGCCTTACGCGTGCCCACTGTGCCCCAAGGCCTACAAAACAGCACCGGAGCTGCGCAGTCACGGGCGCAGCCACACGGGCGAAAAGCCCTTCCCTTGCCCCGAGTGCGGCCGCCGCTTCATGCAGCCCGTGTGCCTGCGCGTGCACCTGGCCTCGCACGCCGGCGAGCTGCCCTTCCGCTGCACGCACTGCCCCAAAGCCTACGGCGCGCTCTCCAAGCTCAAGATCCACCAGCGGGGCCACACGGGCGAGCGGCCCTACGCCTGCACTGCACTGTTACTTGACCGGGCTTGGGTCTGAAGGGCAGAATGAGCCAATGGGAAGGTGAGTGGGAGGGAGCTATGGGTGGTGGTAAGCAGCACATGGGGAGCTCCCAGATTGGTCGGGTTGGTTGGTCGGTGGGCCGGACATGAGGGGGCGGGGCAGACTGCTTTGGGATGGGGCCCTGGAGGATGCAAGTGGGGTCTGATAGGCCTGGGTGCCTGGACATCAGGAAAGGGGCAGGGCTTGAAGTTGGGTCACTCATAGGGCCTCCAGTAGAACACAGGATCTGTGAGTGGGACCTGGTAAGCCTAGGGCTTTGGGTGCAGAGAGGGGTCTTTTCTGGGATCTAGATACCCCACCGGAAGGTTTCTCACTCTGGGGTACAGCTCTGGTCTTAGGGGGTTGGGCCCAGGCCCCCTGGATGTTAGGGCCTCCTAACTGACGGTGCAGACGGCAGCAGGGTCAGGTGATGGGCCTGCCACCTTCATGCCGGTCCCCACGCCCCCACAGGTCCCACACCGGAGAGCGCCCCTTCCTCTGCTCCGAATGCGGGAAGAGCTTCTCGCGTTCGTCCTCGCTCACGTGCCACCAGCGCATCCACGCAGCACAGAAGCCCTACCGCTGCCCCGCCTGCGGCAAGGGCTTCACCCAGCTCAGCTCCTACCAGAGCCACGAGCGCACGCACTCTGGCGAGAAGCCCTTCCTGTGCCCCCGCTGCGGCCGCATGTTCTCCGACCCCTCGAGCTTTCGGCGCCACCAGCGGGCGCACGAGGGCGTGAAGCCGTACCGCTGCGAGAAGTGCGGCAAGGACTTCCGGAAGCCGGCCGACCTGGCCATGCACCGCAGGGTGCACACCGGCGACCGGCCCTTCAAGTGCCTGCAGTGTGACAAGACGTTCGTGGCTTCCTGGGACCTTAAGCGCCATGCGCTGGTGCACTCGGGCCAGCGGCCCTTCCGCTGCGAGGAGTGCGGCCGAGCCTTCGCCGAGAGAGCCAGCCTCACCAAGCACAGCCGAGTGCACTCGGGTGAGCGCCCCTGCC